ATAGACATATGGCTTTACCATTTTGATGAAGGTGAGGTTTTGATAGGTGTACATCACGATAATCGATTACGACTCATTTCTCCTTTAGTCGGTAATTGTCACACAGACTGTTATTGGGGAGGTGATGTCTTTTTATATAAACCTAGGGGAGAGTCAGAAATTTTCAAAGACTGATGAAATGTCTTGCTTTGACGACCCAGCTTTTTACCTCCAGTTATGATAAATAGTGGATTGACATATGTAACAAATTGTCCAATCACCTCAGTCGATGACGACATACATTTACATCAACTTATTTCTGTAAGGTAATGGTTAAATAGCATTTTAGTCGATAAAATGTGGACATTTACCATAGTTATCCAAAAGGTCCAAGCATGTTATTAATTGTATGTGAAGAAATTATCTTCTACATTCTTACCTATTTGCTGGTGTTCATTTTTGTATTGACCAAAATAAAGGCTTGTCTACTCTAAGATTTTTGTCTTTGGGTGAAATTAAAATGAAAAGTGAAAACTGATGTTGATGTATCCGTATCCTGTAGACGATAACATTTTGTCTTTGAACTTATTTCCAACAAAGTTGTAATTAGATATTTGGATCGCTTAACTGGAAGACTCCAAAGGATAGTGTGATCACTGGAACACAATCTTAAACACTAAATCATGTACGCAATTCAGTTTAAGAAATACACAGTCATTACTTGATTAGCTTACTGGTAGCTTCCTTAAAAGTATTGTTAGGCAATGTATATTCAAATAATGAAGTAGAACCAAGTTTCATATAGGCTTCAGGCACTCGTCACTATAAGAAAACTTTGATTTTGCTATCCAATTTAAATACTTTTATAGATTTTTCATCCAGCCTTTTGAACTTCCGTGCTATAACGCTTCCTTTAAGTGCATGAAAACATTATAATCTAACTGGTCCATAAAAGAACATGAAATTCAAAGATTACCCAGCGGAATTTAGTCAGAACTTAAGTTTCACTTTTTATTCACCTTTCAGATTACCAATGAATTCTACTAGCAGCTAATTCTGTTCTTGGTCATTTATTGATTTTTTATAGAATAATAACGAGAAGAGTTCATTACAATAAAAGCGGCATAAAATTGTTTTTATTCAGTTAGCAATAATAACAATAATAATATAGTGTGATTTTAAGGTCATATTAAAGTTTAGTCTAAACTAATGAACACATTCCAAGTGGAGAATTAAATCATCTTTTTCAATTACTTATTATTATTATTATTATTATTATTATTATTATTATTATTATCAAGGAGTAGCTATTCACTATAAATTTGTTGATAAGCATATATTTTTCAAAGCTACACTAATCACCATTATATTTATTTACTAGAAAACTATGGATACCAATTTAAATTGAATTTTGTTGAATGAAACACTATTACGTGATCATATATTCACATCGAATTTATTTATTCAGCTAAATTGTTGTCAAATGACGATTCTTTAGTGTGTCAGTAAGATATGTTTGAGAATTTAGGAGATCTTCTACTCGCCTTCTTTCTGAATCCTGAACTTATGGCTTCTACAACTGGATTTGAAGACATCATCTAAGAGGTAATTAGATTAAAATTGATTGACATAGCTGAGATTTACAACTTTTTCATCTCAGCTGCATTCAAACTCATCGGTAGCCGTTAAGGTTTTGGAAAGATTGTTCTGATTTCATGATAACTATTTGTGTTTTTTTATCATATAGCAATGTGAGGATAAGTTTTTCAACTAAAAATGAAAACAGGAGAACATACTGAATAGAAGTGACCGAAATGTAAATTCACTACACTGAAATGCACTTTCTGAGTCCCATCTATTTGAATTGTAATCATGAATGATTAGTTAGTCAGCTTACTTCACCTGGTAAAGCAAAGAATTTCAGGCATGTCAGTGGATGTTTGAATGATTGCTCCTGTCTAATATCACAGAGGATAAAGCACGCTATTCTCTGACCGGTCATGTTAGGAAGTCTTCAATGCTAACTCATGTCTAGTTACACGTTGCTTCTTCAAAAATGGCTGGGTATATGAGTGCATGTATGTAAGATATATAGCTTTCAGTCATCATATTGTAACACGGTAGTTGGTTTTATTATAGCTGTCTTGGTTTCGGTAATGATGGTAGTTTCCTCTCTGTCTCCCTAGATTTATTTAGTGAGTGAGCGTCCAACTAAATCATCTAGATTTGTCTTCACTAATGTCATATAACTAAGAAACGAAGTTCTCAGTTGTTCTCACTTATCTTTAAAAGAAGTATATTTCATCTTAAGATTTATTCATAACTACTCACTGAATTTTGACTCCGATTCTCGAGGTAGAAATGAGACAATGAATTGTTAAAAAATGTTGATAAGCAGAAAAAATCATATACAAGCTTTTATTTATTAGGGCTTTACAGCAGACCTTCGAACCCGTCTTTAAATTGACATCAGTAGTGAAGTTGACAAATTTTAATAGGTTTGTATGTTTCAAGAATGAATAGAATGACACTTAGGCTTTCTAATTTTAGGCATTAATCAATGTGGTTACAGTTTTCTTGGTGAAATGATGTTAGTCAAATCATATTTGAAGACCACAAAATACCAAGTAGGGACATAGTTTTCATTTGAGTCTCACCAGCAGAATGACATTAAGCTTGCTACACTGATTTTAACGCAAATGTTGATTGTATTGTGTTGTCTGAGTTGAGCTGTTTAACCCTATAGCTTTCATCGCCTTTATAGATGGCATCATCAGCATTAACTTCAGTATGGAGTGCGTTGTCAGTATCTCTCCGTGAGGGATTCAGTAGCTTGCCCTGACGATCTGGTTTGTGATTGGTTGTTTCCTTTGGTTGTTATGTCATTGGCTGTATAGATTTTCTTGTCGGCTGTTTCCCCCCTTGACTTCTGACCTTTACGCTGTTTATCTATGCAGTCAGTGACACAACAATCGAAGGAAACAACTAGTCACAAACCAGTTTGTCGGGGCAAGCTACTGAATCACTCACGGAGGGATATTGACAACGCACTCCATACTGAAGTTAGTGCTGATGATGTCGTCTATAAAGACGACGCAAGCTCTACGATTAAACAACCCAGCTCAGAGAACACAATACGATCAAAATCACTCGACTGAGCTACAAATATTCTTCACTATTTTATAGCAAGTGTTCTGATGCAGATCCACTATATGAGATTAAGTTATTATTGCTTGATTACCGTGATTAATCAGCAGTTTGGAACAAACTTTTACTAATAATATCAGTTACTAACTACCACATGTTATGTTTCCTCATCAAAAATCAAGAAAATCTGCTTTTCGTAAATTATCACCCATGACTATCGAGTTGATAAATTAGCAGAGTAAAGGTAAAGAATTAATCATTGAATGGAAAGGCCTCATTTTCGATTGTACAGCGCCTTAGTAAAAAGCAGTGAATGATCTTTCCTAAATAAGGTGTAGAAGCTACCAAGTACTTTTCAACTAGTTTTCGATATAGTCTTTCTACAACTGCAGGAAGTTAATAACAACTTTCCTCATGGAAACCAGTCGCAGCTTAATCACCATGACTGTCATCATTAGTGACCACTTTTGCTTATTTTCAGCTTCTCATGACCAAACGCATCTCTAATTTTAAGTAGATATGAACACTCACGCACTTACCTAAAATCCACTTTTAAGTCATTTTGATACAAAGTGACACGAAGTCGAAATGCACTCGTCAACCGTTTGCACATCTATGCACTAGGCAATGAGCTAAACTTATGGTGAGATGGCTAATGATACTACCTGGCGATACGGGGTAGATCGCGTGACCCACTGGCCGAAAATCAACTGCCCAAACCAATAGGCCACGGCTTCATGTAATCGAAATGCTCTCAACAACCTTGCGATTAATTTTAGGCGAGCAAATGTAATAATTCTGGTCCAAAGGAAAATATTATGAAAATCTTGCAGTTTGATATAAATTTTAGTATTGCACTGGGTGATCCAGAAAATTTTATATTTATAAAGCTTCTCAAAATTGTTCAGTGCTTATTCTGAACATTAGGTAGAGATTACTGTTATATCTTTTTTTTCAGCACTGGCTGAAAGACAATAGCAGTTAGTTTAACTTCAGTGTTTCCACAAGCAGTGAAGTATGAATCGATGACCATACATTCCAAAAGGCATTGCAGTTCAGCTGCTTAAAATAATTGACTAAGCCATTTTAGGTTAACTGGTTTGTACTTATTAGTTAATAAGGCTTTCTGTCAGAAGAGGCAGCGAAGACGGGACTTCAGGTGAATATAGAGAAGACAGAAGTGATGAAGATACCGCACCAACAACTCCAACAACAAACTCCAACCACCATCAACGGGAGAAATTTAAAGGAAGTAACCTCCTTCACCTATCTAGGAAGCACTGTTTCAACTACAGGCAGCACAGGCACAGACGAGGATGTCAGAGTCAGAATCGGAAAGACAGCAAGACAGGCGTTCATCAGTCTGAAACCAGTGTGGAGGTCTTCTACACTCAGCATGTGGAACAAGATCGCTACTGATAATCAGATGGCCAGAATAATAAGAATAACCAACAAGGAGCCAACCAACCAAGAACCTATCACTCAACAAATATACACTGGAAGGAAGTGGAGATGGATTGGGCATGCACTGAGAAAGCCGACTGAGGACATCACGCGTCAGGCCAGTTGCTCGAGTGGAATCCCCATAGGAAGCGACGAGTTGGACGTCCGAGGGTGACATGGATGATATCGTGTGAGGAGGAAATGAGAGCTTCTGGGCTGTCTTGGAGCCAGGTTCAAAAGACTTCAGAGAACAGAGTTCACTGGAGACGTGCTACTGAATCCCTATGTTCCATTAGGAACCCAAGGGACTAATAATAAATAATAATAAGGCTTTCTGTCACCCAAATTTGTCGTCAGAGTATGAGTGTAGAGTCTGATAACTAAGGGGAAGAAAGAAATATTAAACTACACTTATTGTTTTTTCTTTACAGGCTCTACACTAACCAAAACCTCACTCAGTGGAAACTGTGAAAATCATATTCAGATTAATGATACTGCACAAGACTTAGTTTCACAATTTGTAGATATTAATCCATTTCATAACCCACTAAAAACAGAGAATTTGATTAAAAATGAAGATTCTTCGGTGAGAAATGTAAGTAATACTTAATCTTTCCGTACAGTTGGTTCTCTTTATACATTTTTTCAAAGTAATAACAATAAACATTGTGAGATGAATGGAATTTGTTCCGTGTGGTCTAAATCTTTCACATTCGAACTAAACTTAAAAATTGTTCACAGTCACATATCATCGTTCAGTATAGATCACTTCACATATTTCAATAGTGTAATGAACACCGAAAGCAGCTTTCACATCTAGACATCAATATATATGGGAATAAAGATAAATTACAAAGTTCGTGATCATTTGGGGAAAAGACACTTTATGGCTTTCATGATTAGCGACTTCAATGAACTTTTATTGGTATGCATGTTGATATTTTCAATAAGAAATTAACTGATCGGGAATTAATTCATCCCAGAATACCGATCTAGTTTACCTGTTTATTTTCTGTAAGAATGAGCCAAGAGATCCAATTGCTTACTATAGTAAATGAGTATTACATACACTTATCGTGGTAATCAAGACGGGATAAATATTCACATAACACTAGAATAACTGAAGGGGTCTGATTGGTAGCTCTAGTGTTTAGTTCGAATACAACTAAATATCAATTTTTCGGCTTTCAAATCTACATTTCATTCACCTGCATAAATATGCAATCTGTCATTTTGAAACCATCGTAGGTAGTTTAATTAATATTTACGAGTGATTAGCTAATCATGGGTCAATTAGGATGAGAAGTGTACGCGATTTTCGATTACTAAATGAATTCTGTTATTTCTAAATAGTAACAATACTCGAGAATACTTAGCAAACCAAATGACTTTCCACGGAACACATGATGTCAGTGAGTCTTTTTTCATTCATCGTATTAGTGAAATAGTCAGTTGGATTACATTTATAACTTGAACCTGACCATCATAATTTTAAACTATCATACTAATTAGAAATTAGTGTATCCATGGCAATTACTGTGATAAGGAGTGGTTTTGTTTTCAGTGTCTATGGTATCTGAAAGACAATGTACTTTTGTGTCACGCTGTTCCAGAAACGACATAGTTCGACTGAAAAACGTTCATTATATAGCTAAATTAAGTCATTAACTTGTAGTACACCTTCTTAAAACCATAAATACTGTTGGCTTTAAGATGAGTAAATAAACATTTAAAGTATCTAAATAATAGCGAAACAATCTTCTACGGCGTTGGCGGGTGATTTTGTTTTAACTTACAGGCATCCACCTTCGGACATTCACCATTTTTGCATCCTCTTCGTGATGATCAGCAGAAACGCACTTAGAGTCCACAGCTCAATCTTTAATAAACAGATAAGTTTGAAGTTCTTCCTCTTAAATAACCTCTACCTCTGATCAATAAATAAGCTGTTCATCCGAGCACCTTTTACTACACAACGTGTTATCTTATTTGTATTTTGTTATCAGAACTTATACGTAAGGCACTGATTACTTTGGTAATGGTGCACATTAATTTATGTAAGGCTAATCAAGTGTTAGGCAACAGTACCACAACCAGTCTCTTAAAAAATCTTGAAATGTAATATGTCAAGCTCCAAAGAAACTGCATTTCTTTGATTAACATAAGATAGCGATTATACTATACAGCTCACACTTCAAAATGTCATCTACCACTCATCTGACACCATCTACTTGTCTTCCTAAGCGTATAAACTTTCAGTTGACTTTTGAATTCATCGTGGATATATTGAGTACAAGTTGCCACCATCTGTTAGCAGTTACTTCTTAACCAAAGTGATGGTTATTCCTTCTCATAAACTTCGTTATTGGACAATTACTCTTTACTGCTAGTTCCACTGGATTCAAAATGAATTTCATAGAAAGCCTCATCGATTACAAATGAGAAACGTTAATGTTGGGAATTTCTGTCCAATACTGGAATGTCTCGAGACCACCTCATATTTTTTTAACTTCGCCTAGAATGTAAGCGCTTCTATGTAAACATCTGAAAACTCCTTTGGTATCTACAAACACTCAGAGTAACTACGCTTGTTTTTGTTATAGGTTTAGAGATAGCTAGGTAATGAAAATAAACCCACTTCTTACTAATTTTCTGTTCGTGCATACACTTCAACCTCCATTTATTTATGTGGACATTGCTTTATTTTTACCACATGAGCAGCAAAAATGTATGTCACCGCATCAAGAATATTAAATGTTTTTATTGATTATCATACAAGTAAGTTTGAATATAATCCCAGTATGTTTAGAAAATAAAAACAAGACGTCTTCTGAATGTTTCTCTGTGTATACCAAAGCTTCGTTGGAAGAATCTGTCTGATGCCTACACAGCTTTTGTCTCAGGCACTGAATATTCGCTAAATTATAATAAATCAGTTGATCGTTCTTTTCTACGATAACAGAAAGGTGTATTTAGTTCTTGACGGTAAGACTAGTCGTTAACACTAAAAAGGGTATCTATATACTTTTAAATTAACTTATGCCACGAAATAAAGTACAAATATACTCGATGGCATAATATGTGGCAAATTTATACATGTTTCCAGAAACGTTGTCCGTGGTAAAACTTAAAGAACTATGGCTGTAGATTGTGTTGTCATTAATGCTGAAATTTTTAACCATCACACGTATCGACAATCTGGCTGTTGATCTCATCGCTAAAGTTTCTGTTCACAAGAGATATGTCGATGACATCATAATGATTTGCGAGAGACATGAGGATATGGTTTGTCTGCTAAAAAGAATTAACACGATACAAACTCATATCAGTCTGACTTGTGTAAAAGAGAATAATAATCATCTGCCATTAGTAGATATACTCCAGAGTCGACGAGATGGTTCAATAAGATGGCCAATTTACAGAAAGCCAACATAGATAGGAAATCATCTGAATTTTCACAGATTTTGTCCGATACAACACAAGCGACATCTAGTAAAATGCCCCTTTAATAGGATCGATGGTATCTCTACATCAGATACGATGCATGAAGATATCAAATTACTGGCCAAAACACTTATGAAAACCGGATATCACTTGATGTTTATAAACCGTTGTAGAAGTCAGGTAGCACTGAAGCTAACTCTTCACACACTTCCGAAGAAAACTGTCCATATCCCTCTACCACACACAGAGAGGAGTTGAATAGTATAATTTTGAGACGTAGGCTAACATCAACCACTAGGAAAACATACAATTCGACTAATCTTATTATTGTGGAAGAAACAAAACACATGCTTCACCACAAACCTAAATACTACATCAGTGATTACGTCACATCCGATTGTGTTTACCAGTGTACACGTGTGTGTGGTCTCATATGCATAGAAAGGAGTAATCGAGTCATGCAGTCGACGGTGGCACAACATGTACCTAAATGGCTCCAAAAACAAATGGAATGTGAAACCTTGATAAGTGCAGGTGGAAGAAAACCCTCTTCATCTATACCTAAGCATATTACCGAAACAGGCTACAAAATCAATGTTCAAACACCTTTCAAAGTTTTATATGGAAACGGTCCAGGATGCATACTGAGATTTGCGGAAGTGGTAGGCATAAGTGAACTGAAACCATCTTTGTGTACAAAAACAATTTGTGTTCGCACCACACCTACCTTGGTAAACTTTGTTTTCTTACTCAGATTGGGATCAACTATGTCACTCGTCCTGTTTGTTCTCATCTTTCTTAAGTTTAATCTACTATTACATGTATTGTATTGTTTGTCCTCCCTCTCTTCAGTTAAATATAAATTGACTTGACAAGTCAATGTGTAATCGGAATATTCCAGATATATTGTGTAAATATATCACATTGTTCAGATAAACTTCTAATTACACCTTTTTGATAAAGAAATCTAAATCTTAGAGAAAAATAACGCTGTCAAAACACGATCATACCTAGTGATTTTGGAATTTAATATAACACTGAAATGTTTGTCACTATATAGCATCCTCTGTTCACCTTAGCCACTCCCCTGTCTACCATTTTCATTTTATTTTATCTTCAACCTATAAGTAGTATAAATTATTTCAAGAAAATGTGATGTGAATATAAACCTGCAAAGCATTTCTGAATTACACTTAGAAGTTCCACTGTGTTAAACAAATATAAATAATGAATTCATGACTTTATTGGTAGACACTTTTGAAGACACCACATTTTGTTGATTTCAAAGACAAAGGTTTTTTGTTCGATTCCTGAAAACTTTCTGAGTAGTGATTATTGAAGAGTCCTAGATAAACATGAGACAATTTTATACCATTCTCCAGTTTAGACTGATCTTTAATCATCGTTTTATGCAAGCAAGTTTTGAGGAAAATAGGTAGAGTTAAAAAAAGATTCTATTACATGCGAAACAAATATATTTGCACTTTTTATGTTCGTTGTCTCATAAATCAGGAATAATTTTTTATCCTTTTTAACGAAAACATTATGAACAAAAGGATTGAGTTACAAAGTACAAATACTGTGGATATTGTAAATATATATGATTAGAAATTCGCAGATTTGCTACTCCTTTATTAATTTCAGTATAAAGTACTACTTGAGCTGGTAGCCATTCTTAACATACGGTAATTCAGTTGTTAATTTTCTAGGTTTTGCTCGTATAATGAACTATTAAGTTGCAAGGAAAACAAAGAATGTTAGAGTAAACGCTGAATCGATCAGTACAGTCAGTAGGTGAGGACGTAAACCATAGGGCCACTAATAATCATCAGGACTAATAAGAGATTACTAACTGTGATATGTTTTAAACTTTCATTTCAGTCTAGTATATCAAAAATAATCTTCAAAAAGTAGAAAAATGAACATGTTGGTATCGGGATTATACACACAACTATGTCAAGTGTTAAAATTCATTCGATTTCCTGGTAACATTCACTTTGACAGAAAACTCTGTGTGAAAATTAATGAACTAACTAATTCCTACTATTATTTGTTGATGTTTGTAGTTCTACGTTGTTATACGGGATCAAACTGATCTACCTCTCTTGGCATTTGGTCTCCTATGCGGATGCCTCGATATTTTTATGTTTGACTTGGTTGTGGCTAGTAGTTTATTAAAATGTACAACAGTCTGAATCTCCATCACCTACCATAAAAGGCGAACAGACCTAATAGCTTCTATCTACCCAAATGAGATAGTTCTATGAATAGTATTCAATGTATCCAATTCACGAAAGGTTGATTAGCCAAGAAAAAAGTAAATATTACTGATTGGTAGGAATAAAACGGTTCAGAAGTCAAAATTTAGTTAAGGAGAATCTAACAGTTAGAAAGACTGAGAAGAAAACCTGTTAATTATATTTAATGCAGCTGGGATAATAGACACTTTATTAATCACTTGGATACCGAGCCGACTACGACAAGTAGCGCATGAGTAAAAGTTACCTGTAAAATAAACAGTCTCACTGGTAAGCCGTGCTGTGCGCTATCACAGAAAACCTTTGTTTACCTACTGGGCTTCATAAACAAATAACTTGCTAGCCGGTAAAATCTTAATTCATAGTTAACCATTAATCTTACGAAAACGGAGTAGACGAAAGAAAAACTGTTCCTTTCGATGAAATATTCTCTGCGTTCGTCTTCTGTCTTTTCCTATGATCAAATGGATTTATTGCTGTATTTACTTTATGTTGTTTAAATTTCAGACTAAAGAGTTAGTCAGCACTGACGAAAGTAACAAAGGTAGCAATGTGGAATGTAGTCAAAGAAACGAAGATGATTCCGACGATTACTACAAAATGAATAGTATACGGAGAGGTATTTGTCTCATTGTCAACAACATGATGTTTTGGCATTCAGATTTCCAGGTCAGTTACAACTTAGGGCCTTTTTGAGTTAAATTAGCCTGCCAATTTTAGTATCTGTGACGTGATCGTTGTAACTTAAAGTGAATTGAAGCTTTAACTCAGCAGACTACTTTTAACGTAATCATCAGTGACGGTTATAACTGAGAAATAAACTTCAATCACGACACGAATGCAAACAAGAACTCCCTAATCGTCAAGTCTAGGCTCTACCAACTGTACTACAACTAACTGTCTTACGAAATATAAGTGTCTGTTAATCGAAGATAAATGAAATAGTCTGCTACATTGGAAGGTATTATGAACAAAAGCGTAGAATTCCTCTTCATTCTTGTCGGTCGGTATTATTTTAGTTGAAATATGAGTAAATCTTAGGTATCCTTTGTTAACATTAACTTTAAGACCTACCATTTTAAGTAAATTCGACGTTAAGTATCTTGAATAACATGCCTCAGTGGCCAATTTACAAGTAAGCACGATAACAACATGAATGAATTCGTTCGTACGTTCATCAATCTTCAAGGCACCACTTTTACAGAATCTGAAGATAATGATTGACTTTTACAAGGAACACTACGATTCATCTACACATATGTTGAACTAAGTCTTAGATGCAAGAGGCAGCACAAACCATATAAGCTGACCACAGTCACTGAGTTAATCGCTTATAATAATATGATATCAACAGCGAAAAGTTATTCTTTAAAACCATTTTTGAGTGCCAATAACAATTTAAGGTGCTAGAAATCATTTTTACAACTACTCCTCATATGTAGTAATAGTATAGATTACCACATACCAATATGTGATAGATAGTACCTGATTATGCATTAATGATATACAAATCAGATTTAAACTGGTTAAAGTGGTTTCAACTTATTAGTGGAATTTAAGTAGTAGTCAGACACATTGTTAAATATTCAATCAAATTATCTGTAAGGAAATTGATTGGTTTGATCAGGAGCGTTTTCATAACGATCTGAACTCAGTTTGAGAACAACCAAAACTGGAATCATAATACAAGTGTTCGACTGTACCAATCTCCAAGCAATACAGACAGGCAGAATCTACGCATAGAAGTCGATCAGTTCAACTCATCATACTTCAAAGCAGGTGAATAAAAAAAGGGACATCAAAGTAGAAAAAAAGTGTAGAGAAGGAGGTGTTTGAAAAATTAAAGATATCGAGGATGTTCAAACTTTGGAAGGTGTCAGAGAGCGAGTACATTTGCACCATTGTGACCAGTTTTCAACTACATCATTAAGGCTTTACGACTGCTGATTCCTGTTATATTGAGGACTCTAGTCTACACGGTTAAGACCGAAAATTAGAGATTTTGTAGATTAGCCCTACGTCTTAGTCTGGATATTTAGAGTCTTTCATCAACCTAATCTTACTTTACTAACATTGCCTATCATAGTAGGTAGTGTTTCCGCATGTACAACACATCCCCACTAAACTACCTCAGTCACTGAAGGTTCCTAACCTCATTGATTGACTTACCTTCGTTACCTAGTACCTTTCACCCAACCTCAATATACTTCACATGGTGGTTCCACCATACACGGCCAATGTTACGAAGATACCTGCAGTCAAAAATGTGTGATCCCTTCACATGTATTTCTCACGGCCATGTTTTACAGTTAGATGGTAGGACAGTGGTGATTGTTGCACAGTATACTAGACCTGTAATAGGTAGTGAGTTGACAAGTATCAAAACGGCCTTCGGTATGAAAGTTGAGATTTTGTCACCAGCCAGCCCGTTTGGGTGGATTCAACTTCCCGAGTAAGTAAAATGGTAAGCCCATTGTATAACTTCACTGGTTATCATTAAACTAGAAGTAGCTGAAGACTAGTTTTGAAGGACCATCTAACATTTGGCTAATGCGAAGAACATGTCAAAATGCTCTAATTTTTGCTCCACCCGTTCACAGTACCCTGCATCAGCGTCTTAGTCTAAATGGATAATTTGGTCTACGTTCTCCAAGCAATCACATACCCTCAAGCGAGTAGATCAATTTTGAGATAGTGGGGAATATTCGCTATTCGCTACGTGGACGACACTTTTGTCATCGTTAAAAAAGATGATATAGAGAACATCCACAATCTGGTCAACAACGTTTTCAGTGACATCAAATTCACAATGGAGAAGGAGTCAAACAACCAACTACCATTCCTGGATGTTCTAGTCAATAGAACAAATACGGGGAGGCTGGAAACCCAAATGTACAGGAAGCCAACACACACTGGCCAAGTCCTCAACCACAGTAGCAACAACCCAACTACCCACAAGATCAGTTGCATGCAGACTCTATTCAAAAGAGCGAGAACACATTGCAGCACAACAACTTCATGGAGAAACGAAGAAACTACTTGGTATCCATCCTAAAGAAGAACGGCTACCGACAAAACTTTATCAGAAGATGCCTATCCCGTACATCATCAACTACAAAGTCATCGACACAAATCATTAAACGCATCATCCTACCATACATAAAGAAGATGTATCAGAAATCACAACAAGATTACTGAAACCACTTGGAATTGGTGTGGCTCATAAACCAACAAATTCCCTCCAAACACTATTATTCAGACCAAAGGATGAGACAACCAAAGAAGACAAACCAAATATCGTTTACAAAATCAGCTGCAATAATTGTGGTCAACACCACATTGGACAAAGTGCTCGCCCCCTTTGACTTCGTCTACATCAACACCAATTGGCTCTTAAACGTCACGACATTTCATCACTCATTTCAATGCACGTGGATAATTATTGACATGAATTCAATTTTGACGATGCAGAAATTCTGGACAGATGAAACAAAGAATATCAGAGAATTCCTAGAAGTTTGACATTTGGGTCAGTCAGCTATCAACAGGTATATAGACATAGACCCAATCTACCAACCATTAAGAAAAATGATAAACGACAGGAAGGTGAGGGGTTCAAGTAGACGGACAACCAACAGGAAAATCTATCCAGTCAATGACACAATAATCAAAGGAAACAACCAATCACAGACGGCTTCATCAGGGCAAACTACTAAATTACTCAAGGAGAGATATTGACAGCTCACTTCATACTGAAGTTAATGCTGATGATGTCGTCTAGAAGGAAGATGAAAGCTTCACGATTAAACAACCCAACTCAGAGAATGCAATACAACCAAGAGTAAACCAATTCCTGAGAAATTGGAAGTACCTAAGGCTCCATACATAACGAAGTTAAACGGAAACGGTCACAGTGAGCATCCAAGTGGAAATCACCACTGGTTTTCCCTAGTTCGGATGGAAACTCTCCATAAGTACTGACATGGTTGTGTGAGTTCCAGTAGAGAGCCTTAGTGGGTGCTACCTACTTGCTCAATAATCCCTTGAAAATTAGAAACTGCCACAAATCCTCTTGACTGACAGAGTCAAATGATGATTCAGACCAAATCATGTTAACTTTCTACTCCCAGTAATCACGCTTGTATTTCAAAACGTCAAAGGCAAAATGGAATCGAAATCCACCCAGTAACCTTGTGAGCATCCATAGAGTACGCAATAAGCCACACCTTTGTGTGAGGATTAATGATGCTGCCTGGTTGCCGAAACCTCGGTCGGAGGGGTGGCATTTAAACGTGTGACCCGATGGTTGAAAAGTCAAGTCGCTAATTCAATAAGCTACAACATTAAATGTTAAGGTTCTGATCGATTAAGGCTTGAAACTGATAGGTTTTCCTGAGTTTATTTTTCTCGAGCCCCAGTTAGGTGTCGGATATCTATAGACCTTAAGTTGTTTATTATGATGTCAATTAAATTGATCACTCTATGGATATCATAAGACGAAATCTCTCCTTTCTTTTAATTGGAATGATCAGTGATTTAGACCAATCTGATGAGACCAATAGCTAGTGTTTCGGTTACTTCGCTCAGTAATGTTCTACCTACATCCTTAAAATCTTCGAGTGGCGCACCATCGGGTCTTGCTGCTTTGTATCGCTTCAGGTTTGAAACAGCCTTCTCAACTTTGAAAAGAGCTACAGTACCGATATCCAAATGTCAAATAGGTTCGGGCTGAATGTTGGATGAGTGAAAGGAGAATTTAGGCCTGTGGAACTGTTCTTAAAGGTGTTTCACCCAATATTCTTCCCGCCTGCTTGGGTAGACTGTCATGGACTCATCTTTAAATAAATAAAAATGACACAAAGTACTCAACTTAGTGGCAATAGTTATCATTTGTTCAGTAGATTCATATGAGAAGCGTTGACCTTTGAGTTATTCAAGTAAGTGATAAAGGTAATTGCCCACCACTGAGATCATATTATAGGAGGATTATATCACTTATTGTTAAACCCAAAGATTCTGGCTTCGAGTCTGTATTTGGTCAAATGGTGCCCAAAGTCTCAAGCTAGGTTAGAAAAGTCATTGCACGTATCCTAGTTCTAATGGTCATCTAGGTGGCGTCTATGCAAGATGAGCACTACCTTCAAACTGTACAGTGAGACTGGTAGGGATCATGTGAAATAGATATAAGTGAAACAATCATGAATAAACTTCCTCATATTTTGAAACCCTTTCATAAGGTGAATGAGTGACTTCCTTAGGAATGCAAATCATGGCTTTCAAAACACGCATTGAGCTCATTGATCTTCCAACCCAGATTACCAATGAACTTGAGCAGCACATCTTGAATTAGTGGTATACAAGCAGATAGTTCAATCACTGACATTTCTTTTTTCGCTTACAGAATCGTTCAGGTTGCGATGTTGATGAGAAGAACTTAGAAAAAGTGTTTGGATCGTTTAATTTCCTTGTAAAATTGTTTCGTAATCTGTCAGCCGGTGAAATACATGCCCAGTTAGAACATTTAAGCCAAAAAACAAATCATGAAGAATATAACTGTTTAGTCATCTGCCTTATGTCTCATGGCACTATTGGTCGTATTTATGGTGTCGATGGAAATTCTTTATCTATTCATGAATTGACTTCATTGTTTACAGCTGATAACTGTCCATCGCTAGCGGGAAAACCGAAAATATTTTTTATCCAAGCATGTCGTGGTGAAGACTACCAAAAGGGATATGTTTTACAACGACAATCGATTAGAAATTATCAAAACAACAATGAGTTAAACAATGTGGGCGATAATGATGATGACGTCGATAACCTGAAACCAGACAATTCATCGAATACAAGGCCAAGATTATCAGTTTCTGATGCAAAGTTTGTTGGCTTTAAATTAGACAATTTGTTCAGTAGTTCAACATCACTATATCCAAACAATGTCCAGTTAATTCCAGCATACGCTGATTTTTTATTAAGTTATGCAACTGTAGCTGGTTTTCGTGCACAACGAGATCCAACTGGTGGTACAGTATATATTCAAGCATTGTGTAAACGGTTGAATAAAATCTCAGCAAATGAAAGCCTTTTAGATATAGTTACTGCTGTACATCGTGAAGTTAGTAAACAATTATACCAAGAGACATCGGGTCAACTGTTGAAAACAAATGGTGAACTATTCCTTCAAATTCCTGAAGTCAGACACACGCTAACAAAGAAAATATGTTTTAGACGATAAAATAAAACATAACAGAAAACTTTTTTAAAGCCTTTCACCTTTGCATTTCAAAATATAAACTCATGCGCTTATCGAGTAGTTCTTTTATAGATCTGTCGTTTTTGACTCTATAACCTAATAAATCTTCGCATTTCCTAACAATGATCATCAGGAAATGAGTGTGAAAAAGTTTATTTTATGAACAATGCAACTTGAAACATGAGGGGAACAAGCAGGTACTCAATAATAAGGCTAACAGCAAAAGCATATATTGATAAGGCCAAGGTTAATGAACATGGATGTATATTTGATAAAATAAAGTGATGTTAAAGGCCAGTCATAGTTATTAATTACAGTTCTGTTTTTTTATGAAATGGAAGAATCTAAACAGTTATTTCAGTCACTGCTAGGCTGGCAGTTAAAATAACTCAGAGACCCTTGTAGCAACTACCAAAATAACCAATCAGTTTTGTTACCTTCGATTGAACGGCGGATTTTGTGAAATATAAAAAAGTAATTGGTTATATCAGCAGACGCCATGCTAGAGTCACTCTTTTTAATGAATGCTTGGTTTAATCATTCAGACGGAAAGGGACCAATATTATGAATCCATAGCACTGTTTTTCAAAGTTATACGGACCTGAACTTGAGCAAAATATTTAAACAAATTGTTAGACTATACTTCATGAGTTGAATAAGTGAATATGAACTTGAAATAATTGCTAACTCCTATTTTCCACTTTTCTAGTGGTAATGGCTAACCAGTTAAGAAAGATACAGTGATATTTAAGCTAACTAACTTAGTAGAATATTTGCAGTGTAGTATATACTAGATGCACTAAATAAGGAGGTCTTGAGCTAACTTTACTCATGAAAGTTATTCAGTCAGATCCACCTAGGGGAGTTAGCAAACCCTGATTCCAAACCAGTGTCACACAGGGGCTTCAGGTTCCAGAAGGGAAGAATGGCGCATGAACCTCTTCTGGTCACCGGCAATCATGGGAATGCAGCTTCTGTTGTTTTTGTTGTGGATTAAACTTTAGGTCAGAGACTGGGGGAGTGGTCCCCTAAGACAACCACCTGCTTCGATCTAAGCGTCTGGACAGTATCATAGCCCGCATACATAATATGAATTTACAGAGTTAAAAGAAGATTTCCAAGCAGTTTGTCAATTTTCCTGCGAATACGTAAGTCCTTCATACGAACTCCAAAACAGATTGTTCAGTTTGTCGCTATTATATTGTTCTTGTTGTTTTTACTTATAAACTTCATCATTTTATTATCTTCGCTTTTTTCTTTATCTCCCCTTCACTCAGCTGCTCTCCCTTGCTTAGACTTCTGGTCTGTCTGTACCGTTTTGAATAGCTAAACAGTTGCCCCCATAAAGTTGTCCTCCAGTGGGACATCTGACATTACTATTCTGAAACCACGCTCGTTCTCTCCAACGTTTGTACGTTGGTGCAGATCGGACAACAGGCAGGTTTGGCCAGGACTTTGGAAGACCTCGCTACTGATGTATGCTTCACCCCAGTGGCCCGCATATAAGATCCCAGAGAAGTGCTTCGAATTAGTTCTTCATCTGACAGCTGCAAAGGTGTTTCATGTGAGCTTATACGGGGACCCTGTGGCACAAGAAACCGGCCTCGCTATCACTCTAGGCGCTAAAACCGAAGCTGGGCTATTCGATTGGATTCTCATGTGCTCTGTTAGTCCAGAAGGTTCATCTCGAGTAAGAAGTAACAGGCAAGGGAAACGATGCGTCTTTGTCGTTTCTGCCTATGTTCCGATAGACTGAAGCCAAGATGCAGCCGAGAATCCTATCATCAACTGAGTGACCTCAACCAAGTGCGCTCAACAGATATCTTAGTGCTAGCTGCTGACTTGAATGGGCAGGTTGGGTATCTAGGCTCGGAAGAGAGTCGTTTAGGTGGAGATTAGTTGGTCCCAGGTCAGCTAATGGGGATCATCTTCTGCAGCTTTGCGTAGATCACAACTAGTCTCTAGCCAGCACCAACTTCCGGCACACCCATTCGCGTTATGCTAAGTGGCGTTCTCCCTCTGCCACTTAAGCCTGGACTCAAATAGATCATATTACAATCAGTTAACCATGGTGTAGGTGCATTCAGGACTGTCTCTTCACATGGAGTACTTGTCTGAACTCTGGTCATGCTTTAGTGTGTGCTAAGCTTTCTTTATTTTGGTTGTCATCAAAATCGTCGTCCTAATCAGGTCGATACAAGTAAATTGTTTGCACCTAGTATTGTATCTAAACACCGTTCCGAGCTAGCTACCGATCCTCCAAAACATGTACACGAGCATTGCTTATACCTGCAAGACGCCATGAAAATGGTGAGTAAAGTAGCTTCTGACTTGGAGGAAGGTCTCGCTAATAAACCTTGGGTCTCTATAAGCTTCCTGAAACTTATTGAAGCCTGCCGAACCGTTCCGGTGGATAGCGAGCACAATGGTTCGCGTTAGTTTCTTATACGAAAGACCACACAATGCTTACGCAAGGACCGTGAGGCTTGGTGGTCAGAACGCTCGAGTGAGATGGAAGCAGCAGCTGTATCTGCAACAGTCGGAAACTGTTCCAGCTCGTTCGAGCCACTGGTAGCAAGAAGCCTGGTGTCAGTGAGACGGTCTGTGAGGTAGATGGTTCACCGATAAGCAATCTTCAAAGACACGTAGAACGCTGGGCGGAGCACTTCGAAAAGCAGTTTGACTGGCCCACGGGTCCAGTATTATCAGCAGCAGTGTATCCTGGTCCATGGTCAGTTAACATTGACCCGTATAACAAGGCGGGGGTTCATAAGAAACTCCAAGTTCTGAAACGCCACAAGGCACTCGACCCCGACAAATTATCCTGGCTTCTTTTTAGGGATGGAGGGATGATTCTAGTACGGGAACTGACCAGACCATTTGAGAAGAAATAGCGGAGAGAGTGCTCCATTACTTGAATGAGGCCATCACTGTGTTTATATTTAAGAAGGGTATATGTAATATATGTGACAATCATCTGGGTACTGGTCTGTTACCAGTCGCTTCGAAAATACTGGCTGCTATCATACTTCGCAAACTTCACAAAACACGTGAGGAAATGATTCGCGAAGAGCAGGCCGGGTTTCGTTCAGGTTTTGGATTCATTGACCATGTGTTTACCCTTCTCCAGATGATGGATCATCACCATATGTACTACAGGCCAACAATCGTTGTGTTCCTTGACATTAGGGCTACCCTCGATTAAACAGAGCTGTACTCTGACATTTTCTTTTGGAGAGGGGGGTATCTGGGAAATTTACCGACATCGTTAAAGCCCTATATAAAAATACCTCAGTTAGAGTGAGGGCATTCAACCACCTGTTTGCATTGCTCCAAACCGGCAGTAGGGTTAGGCAGGGTTACTCGATTTTCCTATCCCTCTTTAACTTTCCGATCGATGACATTTTTGAGACAATTCTGAAGGAAATGCATCATGGTGGTATAGGTCTACTGCCCGGAGAACTGCTTTTCGACCCTGAATATGTGCGATAACATACGAGCTATTCAAATCGTACGCAATCAGTTGGCGATTAACGTCCATAAGTATGGTATGTTTTTGTCACCATCGAAGTGCAAGGTACTTTTGCAAGACTGGCAGGAGCCTATATCTGCACTCAACCTTCGTGGTGAGCATTTTGAAGTAGTCGAAAATTTCGTGTATCCGGGTAGTTGTGTGAGTCCTGATGGAGGTGTGAGGGGAGAAATTTTCAACCATATGCTGAGAACCAGAGTGGCATACGCCAATCTGGGCCACCTTTGGCGCTATCGTGACTTTAGTCCGGCAGTTAAATGTCGGGGTTACAACAATTCGATGCGAGCAGTCCTGCTCTACGCCTGTGAAACCTGGCCTCTCAAAGCTGAGGATGTGAGACGACTGCGTTCAATCACCGTCGTCTCCGCAGGATCGCTCGTATCCAATGGCAACACAATGTAAGTAATCCTGAGGTACGACAGCGTGCGTCTGGGTATGATGGAGATCGTAGTTCAATAAGTAAAGTCATCTGGAAACACCAAATTCGGTGGTTTGAACACGTGTTACGCGAGTCGTCCCAACGGCTTCCACGTCGTCCATTGTTTGCTAGCCGTAGGACTGGATGGAAGAAGCAGAGAGGCGGTCAGTTTATGACGTGGGACCGTGGGATGAAGAATTGTTGTATCGGATTAGTGCCTGTTGGTGCACCACGACTTCCTGTGTGGGATCCCAGAGATCACACAACCCAGTGGCTTGAGAAGTTATCAGATGTGGCTCGGAGTCGAAACCACCGGCGATCATGCTGTAACTCCCTTCTATCTGCTGCTGAAAGGTAGTGAATGCTTTGTTTTACATGCATCTTACTCGACCACCTCTCTAATAGTTCTGTTCTTATTCTTTTTGTTTATCCACTTTCCCGTGATGCTGGTTAGACACAAATTATGATCCAAGCACAACTGCAAAAGATGTTCACTATTATTTGACCTGTGACCACACAATCCAAATAAGCCACCCCAACACCCAACTTGTGCTTTTAAGTTCCAAACTAGTACTACAATATCTCTTCAGCGCAACTGGTATGGGTTACTCAACTGATAATAGAACTGCATCCAAGCTGCAGTCAGTTGGAGCACCTTCCAATGATTGTGTACAAGTTCGCGATCAAGAATAATTAGACTTCATTTTACTGTTTCCTTATTTGTGTCACTGAATAACAGTATGCTTTAAAATCAAGTTAAGATATGTTCTCCCGAAGTGCCAGATGACCTTGGCGATTTGAATTTGGGTTGGGACCGACTATCTACAGTAAAAAACCACTGAAGGTAGCAAATCAGCCCAGTGATTTGACAAAAATACGTTAACTGCAAGCGTAGGTCTCGGTATCACTTCTGCTAACAGTTCAGAGTACCATTGAAAAATCTTACCCCAAATTTCAAAACAACATCTGACACTTTCAGTCAGCAACAGCGATCTAAATAAAGTTCATTTACGATGAAAAGTACATCCAGTCTACTGAGAGTTTCCCGAAACACTATCGTGGAGTTCTTAACCAATTCGCAGTAAAATTCTGCACACAACTTCCGGTCATTTTACGGTTTATAGTGTTGGAATATCTTGGGTTTCAGTTCGGCCTATCACTAAACTATTTCTCGAAAGAAATTACTTAAAAAAGCATATGGAACATTTCACAGTCATTTCGTTGCGTTCAAGCAATCATGAAAGGCATCCAAAGTTGAATATGCAGTCGTCTATTATCATCGTAGAATATATGATTGTAATCCTGTAGTTTAAAAGAGCACAACATTTTTTGTCTAACAACGTCTCTATCAGTTCAGTAATTAGATATATTGGCAAAAAAAATGAAAATCAACGAGATTTCAGATGCTGTAATACCAACTTGGAAGGCTACAATTTTACCTATGATTCCACCGAAGATTTGGAAATGTTATGTAGAATATATCTTCATCATGATCAATAAAAAAACGAGAAAGCGAACAATAGAATCCAGTGTCTTCATCTTCCTCAGAAAATCGGTCACGAAAATCTGCCATAAGTTGATCCATATGGACTAAATAAGTAACCGATGCAAAAGGACATGAGCACTAGTTTGTGGATAGACACTGATCAAGAAAGTTTGAATTGAAACAAGTGAATTCGAATATTTTTAGGTTGAATTTGGATGCATTCACCATGTGACTTACGTCCATTTGGAAATTATTTTAAACGTTACTCACAGCGGTCTCTTGGAAAGACAAGAATCCACTATCTTAGCATTGAAAAGTGAAATTTTTGTAAAAGCAACTCTTTAATTAGGTCTTCGTCTTTGGTTTATTAGTATAGGAGTAAAACGAATACTGTGGCTGAATATAATTCTATATTAGATTATTTATTTGATATAGCACACAGTGATATGGTATTGTCTACTGTATGACGTTCCGAGCAGAATTTATTGCTCATATTCATATCAAAGTAATCATACGACTTCCAAACTCCTTTTATATAGTCCAAGAGTTCATTCATTTATTTTAATGGCAGCAAAATTGTCTACATATCTGTAGTGTGATGACTCATTTATTGCTGTTTCAAATGTTAGGTGCTAATTTAATGAATAAAGATTCTGTGACCAATCTTTCCCTGCACCCGGCTATGTTGGACTTTGGAGTTGTCATCCGACAGTGTGATTATGGGTCAATGCATAACAGAGCGATACCTGAGTTTTTCTCCAAATTAAATATCTTAGTAGGATTTACCATAGCATGTTTGATGTATGTATGCAGATAATACTGCATCACTGTGTGCTATAACAAATAAACAATTTAGTATGGAATAATTCATTATCATAATGCAACCCATTTGCGAACAAGAAAGGTAACTGTTGTTTCCACGTAGTATTGCCACTGATGTAATCCAACTCAACGTCCTCATTGTCTTCTACCGAAAATACTTCAGATCACACTTCCTAATTAATTTTCTTAATCTAACAAACTTAATTGGTCTCTTTCAAAACTTACCATTAACTTGGAGTAACCTGTTTTGAAATGCCATAAACAAGAATGAGAACATTTTTGGTAAAACTGTGGGTTATGTCTAATGTACTAGGACTGAACAAACAACAAACATCAAGCAGTGGTGAAATTTAATATCATGACCAAAGAACTTAATTCAAGTATTTAAACCTCTGAATGGCCGGAAATAATTCTATGCTCCATTTCATACTGTTTGAGTTCGTTATTTACTTAGAATGCTCATTTTGAATCCAACACTCAAATATCAACTACCAAGCTATCTCAGATAATAAAAGGAATTATTATTTACAAAAATAACCTATAACTTTACGTATACTACACTTTTTCATTTATTTATTCACAAAAACTAAGTTTATGTACAAATAATGCACCACCTATTAACAGACAAAAGGATGTAAAATTGAAGAGAATAAAAATACTTCATGAATACACAAAGAAATTACAGAGGCAAATAACTAATTAGCGTAATGCATATACACAGATGAATAAATCCTCTTGATGAATAGGTTTAATCTTCCCACAAGGAGTGCAGAAATAAATAACTAAGAAAGAATGACCATTAACATGCACGTGAGCATTAGTTTCAAATTGTTTTCTGTTTGTTTGTTTGTTTATTAAAATGAAATAAAGAAGTATAAAAAATAAATCACAACAAGAAAAACTGACAAAATTATAAGCATATGTTGTGATATTTTCAGAAGAAAATTCAGACTCAAAAAGAATCACTTTTTTAGTGTAAATGATAGCTTCGGTCGAATCCGTTTTTTGTTTAGAATAATTTCTTGTTCCCGTTTAATACGCTGGAGTTCTTCAGCTTCTCGTCGTTGACGCTCTTCAAGTTCACGTAATTCTGCTTCACATCGTTTTCGCTCAGCTTCCTCCTAACGTAGTTATAGATAGAAAAGTTTTCAACCATATATAAATGTACTATTTCTGCTTGAAATACACAGATTTTTCTTACAATTTTCAAATAGGCAAGGTCTCCAACTAAACTAAATATCATAAACATCTATCTCACTAAAAACTAATTTGGAACTTCAATCTCAAACGAATACTACTGCATAAATTAGGGAAAAAAAATAAAAAATCCTACTTGGTGAGATTACTGGTTCACATTTTATCATTAGTTATTAATTTAATATTTGCCTGCAATCAACGTTATTGGGAGAGCTGAAAGATTCGATATCCGATTGACTGTTGCTTTCTGGCATACATTAAACTTATCACCGGTCACCTATCCTTATTTTCCCTTGTAATAATAGGTAGCTTGATAGCCAAACATTCCTTAAAAACAACGTAATCTCAGAGAGTCTAATCTAACACGTTTCATTTTATATGACGCTGGTTTTCAAAAAGTGAATGTGATATATATGTTCTACCCATTCGGAAGGTTAATGATGTTTACTTGTTTAAAACACTAATCAAATGAAGTGATTTTTCCATCTAACGTTGTCATAATACAAAACGTTGTGGGTTGTTTGAAGTTATGCCATTTGAACTTGGAACGTTTTGAAAATATGTTGAACGAAAAAAGGTTGAAACTTTCAGAAAAGCCCAGAGAGTACTTATTCAGAAGAAACTTGACTTTGTAGCTAACGTTCCTAGTCGTTGAAATGTTTATGACCCCTATCGCCTACAGACTTCAGTAATATATTTTTCTAACAGTGTGAAATAGTGACCTAAATGTTATTCGAACCACGGGACATAGAGAAGTGAATGGCTTCCACGGTCATTATGAGGCTTGTTCAGAGGGAACAGCTTCATTCAATACAAATATTTAAAAGTTGCAAATTAAGAAAGTTATCTTACTTCCAGACGTCTTTGTTCCTCTAATTCTCGTTCTCTTTCTTGCGCAAGGCGTTCACTCAGCTCTTTTAATTGTCTTTCCTCTTCCTATATTGGTAAAGAATACAATTAAACATACTTTAAGAATGTGAACTAAGATGAGAAGTTGGTTTGCAATTAGGCTTATTAATACATTTTTCTCATAAAAAACAGTCGAAAAGACAAAAGGGTTGCATAAATCCAGTTAGCACCTGCTTTCTATGTAAAGTAAACAACTTATAGAAGACACCTACATGACCAGACTGTGGAGTTTCTCATTGGACATGTTACGAACCGAAGGCTTCTTGAATTTGAAACAAAAATAGGTACTAACACGTTACAGACGGGCTCAGGCTGAACACTCCGTCACACCAATGATCATTTCTTTAGTTGCTCTTATTTATTTGTCCAATTCCTTAAAACACTTCAAAAACGCTTCAGTTACTCAACCCTTGTGAAGCTTTGGTTGATTGGTGCAAATAATTGACCTTTGGTTGGAGTCATAAGCTAGAATCCCGCTTTACTTACCAGGGCTTAGATAGCCTACATAATGGGTGTGATCTGGTGCAAAAAACTGCGTGTGCCTGGTGAATCGCATTGAAGCTTTAATAGATAATCAACCTCTAATATACTTTTGATTTGATTCGTTAAATATAAGGATTGCTTGATTAATAAGCTAGCTTGCGAATATTGTATTTAACTCTCTCTCCAGATAATCCAGTGTTTGAAGGAGTAGCATAGTCCTCTTACATACAATTCAGTTCACTACAAAAACGTCCACTTACATTTTATTTAACTTCTTATTCACGAAAGCTGGTTTTCCGATGTAATCCGAAAACACATTTTTTTGCGCAATAGACATACAATTCACTCATGTTTTACATATTAATGAGATGGATATTAAAAACGTAGTGTAACTTTTTACTTAGTGTTTGAATTACTTGAGTTTGATACACAGAGTCTAAGATAAGCATGGTCTAGCAATCCAATGTCAAAACATGTTGCAAATACCAACTCTGATCTAGTTATGATTTAGACAGTTAAAAAATATTAATTATTTCCATACGAGAAATGTACCTTATTCTAAAGCAAAGATTTGGAAGCAGAAATTGACAGACAGACAGATAATATCAACATAAGACATGACATCACTGAGTAATGGTTCAATTTGCTACATCTCATATCAGCACACCAAGCAACCATGCGTTAAGATAAAAGATAAAGCCAAAAGTGGTAGAAAATCGTCGAAAAAAAGCAAGAAGGAATGACAGTACTGAAATTCAGTGTGTTGGTTAGGAAGAGGATAATATGTAGATACGTCAGCGCCAATGCGATCAATTCTATACCATATTACCTAGTCTCTAACCACCGGCTTCTGCTATCACGCGTACATTAACTAGAAAGTCCACATCCCCTAACACTACCCACACCAACAGTCAGACACTTCATGGAGTGATGCTATGTTTAATCTGGCCACCTAACCTTATACAGGTCTGAACCTACTTGAGCTAGCACTGCGCGACGGGATGGACAGTGACAGGGCATGTGTAACACAAAGCTTAGCCATTTCAGTCGATGAACATTTAAAACCAAATCAGCTTACTTTCATTTCCTCTCTAAAACACTACACCTGGTTTCTACGTCACTGACGTTGTGAGAGCATGATCCACGGCCGATGCTAGGAAGGCAATAGTTGTCAAACATCTAAAGCCTTCTCATATCTGCCTTAAAGGCCACGTTTCCCAATCACACAGTGGAATAGAGCGAACTGAAGCGCAGTAAACTCGACCCTTCGTCGACAATCGGATATCGCGTCGGCACCACAGATGGTGTAAGTCAGAGAAAGCTAATCGAATCTTTTGTATCTATGCCGAGATCTTGTCGGCTGCTGATCCACCAGGGCTGACTCGACTTCCCAGGTAAGTGAGGTGGTCAGTGCACTGAACCACTTCGCCACCTATTATTAAAAAGGGCACCAGTAAAGACCAGTGCTGAAGCAAAAATTTATATTTTTGTGGTGAGAAATGCACCCCAAACATTATCCGATTGTCACTCAATGCGTGCATAAGACCCTACATGTTATAAACGTCTTCACCTAAAAATAATACGGTATCCACGTACTCTAGATCTGAACGGCATAACTAGATGTTAGTTCTGCTAAATATGCCTTAATGACTTACATGCAAATACTATTCCTTGTTCGACCACAGATAAGGAGATTAAACCGTAGCTACGTTTGTTTTTGAAAGCACTTACCTGACAGTTCTTCGTTTTTATATCAATTTACTGCTTCTTACTGCTACCCTTAAAAGCCCAAAATGTTGTTATATATTTTATGTAGTCCATTTTATTACGTGTGTTGCGCTGAATTTGTGTTACAATAAATGTAGGGCATGTATACCTCTGATGATGGATCCACCAATCTATACAGGAATAATTATTTCCAAATGATGCAGATTTTAGATATCCGAGAAGACACTGTCAAAAATAAGGGTAGGATAAAAGGAATTCGCTAACACTGAAAACTCCAGTATAAAGTTGGGAGCCAGACTTCAGGAGGTCAAGAAAGGTGCTCCGTTGACACAAATCGCTATCAAGAGCTGTAAGAAATTAAAGATGAGGTAGGAACGTTGATCAAGAGATTAGGAGGGAAAGGTGTGGGAGATTAATAACGACCTGACGGAACTGACAGAGTTGTGAGAGCAGTTAACACTTCCCTGCTGCCCACACCCCAAAACGTCATTTCTTCTTTAGGCACTTAAAAAAGAAGGATTAGTGCGTGATCAGACAGCCCAAGGGACAGTTGCTTGAAACCGGTTACACAATGGCTTTTCTGAAGTTTGAGAATCAAGTTTGTTAGTTTCAACTCCGATTATGACCTAATATCGATAGCACTAGTACGCCATGGGTAGGGGGGATGAATTACTTTTAGCGGTGACCTTTTGTATGTTCCCTTTCTTCTCATAGGGGAAGCAGAATCGACATGGTACCACTGATTATCTGTAGGAAATACAATAATGCTGTCACATCCCTTTCAGTCAGTAGTAAAACTTCGCCCTCGAAATCCTGTAGTAGCTTAGCAACTTACACCACAACGACAACGGCTTTTTGTCGATTGACCTTTTTAGTATGATAGGACCTTGAGCAAACACGCGTTCCACAAGCACATTTCCTTACGTCATATGATATTGATATGCCAGCCCGACCACCACGTCAAGGTAGCAGCCATCGGTTGGGAAAACAGTTCCACATATATGATAGGCTGGCGACTGATCATTCACCGCAGAAAAATAGCATTCACTAAAGTTATTAAACTTAATACACATCAGAATACAAAGGGAACGCAATATATGACTGTTATATTCATTTATCTCATCCAACCGTTAAGATAGCAGCAAACGGTTCGTGAAGTGATGCCAACCTGATCAACTAAGAATCGAAATTCACTGAGCAGCCTTGCGAAGGCATATGATACCACACAGCTGCCAAGAGGTGGATTGATGGAGCCAAGTGCGAAACTGTGATCCATAAGCTGAAAGTCAAGTGTCAGAACCAATGAGCCACAACATAGATCAAAAGTTGCAGACAGCTTTACAGCAAAAATTAGAACGCTAAGCAAGTAATAAATTGTAATATACTGGTCGCGATGGTGTAAGAAACAAAAATATTAAGACAGGTAAATAAAGGTAGAACCCTGTACAAAACTCTGTCGGTCCAAGTCCCCACATTTCACAGTGGCATGCAAAGAACAAGTAGAGAGAAAATCTGATTCACTGACAAAACCAACTCAGAACCTCGCACGCACGTTGATCCGCTCAATTTGCCACACTTCAAAGTAGTACACAATAACAGGTGGATAGGAAAAGGGTGATATCAAAGTAGACAAAGTAGTGTGAGAGAATATATAATCTGAAGATAAAGGTTAGTGCAAATATTCAAGCTTTAGAAGAGGTCAAGGAGTGAATACATCTTCACTACTGCGACCGATTTTCAGCCATGTCATCAAGACCCCTCAACCACTGATTCCTTTCGTCTCGCCGACTCCAACTTGGCAGTCTACATTTCATCACACGCCTCAAGTCAACAGACAGGGACTTTGTTTACTGGTCCCATGTCTTGATCTGGCCACTCTCAACCTTATTCCATCCTAATTCAACTTCTCCTGGTATGGTCCCTAAAGGTACGTGATGGCTTGGTATGCGCAGTACACGTCCAAGTCATCTCAGTTGGTTAGTCTGTCTTGTCTAGTACCCTTCACCTGACTTCAACATTGTTCACACGCTGATTCCCCGCAACGCAAGCAATGCTACAAAGATATCTGTGATTGAAACCCTGCAATCGCTTCATGTCTTCTACACTAACCGCTATCGCGCACAGCCGTACAACAGGACAGAACGGACTTCAGCGCAGTATACTCGTCCTTCGATAGATAGTCGGATACCTAGCTAGTCAACAGCACAGATGGCACAGTTGGCAAATGCCAAACGGACCTTATGTATCCGAGCTGAGATTTCATTAGCAACCAGCCGGTTTGGGCTGATGCAACTCCCCAAGTAACTATAGAGAAACTATAGAGACTGTTGCCACCTCTTAGTCTGGATACTTCGAGTCTTTCATCAACCTAATCTTACTTTACTAACATTGTCTGTCATGGTAGGTAGTGTTTCCGCATGTACAACACATCCCCACTAAACTACCTCAGTCACTGAAGGTTCCTAACCTCATTGATTGACTTACCTTCGTTACCTAGTACCTTTCACCCAACCTCAATATACTTCACATGGTGGTTCCACCATACACGGCCAATGTTACGAAGATACCTGCAGTCAAAAACGTGTGATCTCTTCACATGTAATTCTCACGGCCATGTTTTACAGTTGTATGGTAGAATAGAGGTGATTGTTGCATAGCACACTCGACCTGTAATAGGTAATGTTTTATTGATGTCATAGATGGTGGAAGTTGAAAAGTGTATCCGAGTTGAGATTTCGCCAACAACCAGCTAGTCCGGGCTAATGCAACTCTTCCAGTAAGGAAAGTGGTCAATGCATTTGCACCAGTCCAGTTCGCTTCTAGTCTACATGACCTATTAAGTAACCTCTCACTTGAAGCAATGATTCTATTTCAACGAACGCATTGTCTAAAAAAAGAATCGGAAATATAGGTAGCCGTACAAGACTAGATAAAACCATTTACGACTTTTGTAAAGGTTGACGATGATATTCTATCTTTATAACCCCTGTAGAGACATGATATAACCTGTTATATATATATATATATATATATATATATATATATATATATATATATATATATATATATATATATATATATATATGTCACCTTCAGATTCCACCGCTAACAGTCGCTCGGTTTCTCCGTAAACGGAAAGGGCGGTGAGATAACAGATGTATTGCAACGTCAAAAATACATACAAAATACGAGGGTTTATATATATTTACAATGGTCTTGACTGTCCCAGGCATTTCTAGATTTAAAAGTTTGATTGACTTTCGTCCCTTTAACCAATTTGATATTTACACGTTGGTTTATGTGCTTTCTCTCGAAACTTCGGTGCAATATAATTGGTTGTAACTCTAGAGGCTTAGGGCTCTACGTGAAGATTATAACAATCTCATTCCACACTACATGTACAAACAGTGAGCAGTATCTATTTAGGCCTAGAAACCGAACCAAGTAAATGCCCAATTTTATTTCATCCGAGGTTAAGGCTAGGGGAAGAAACGCTTTCATTAACTTCCAAAAATCTACACACAATGGACATTGTGCAGAAAACTTGTGAATTTGTCAAATCTAAATACATTTAGAACTGGAGATGCGAACAACCACTTTCGTTTTCCATTAAATACTCACGTTTCGCTCTTAAATATATATCTTCACGCACAAAAAATAAACCATAGTGATTTATCACTGGCAACTAAATGGAAGTGGACCAGTGTAAATCCATGAACCACAGTCCACTAACTGTCATGCAACCACCAATCATCATTAGTTTAGTTCCTCTTTGAAAGAGGCCGAATAAGAAACGAAAATACATCAGGAAAGAATGGGTATGATATACAAAACTGAATCATAACCAGACATTTTACAGGATTTAAAAAGTCCTAAAAAATCTAGATAAAACAATGGAAACATATATCGTGTCATAATCAATGGAACTAACAAAAGAGGAATAACGGCCTGAGCATATGTACTACATATGTGACCAGCTTTTGCGCTAGTGTTGAATGGCCTTAAATACAAAAGCTAAATGTGCTGAATTACGACACCTACTGATCGTGAGATAGGTTTCGGTTAAATTTTAATTGGTTTGAATGGAAGTCATAAGAGTGCAAGTGAGATAAATGGGACATTTTCCCCTACAAATATTACACTGACATGTATTAGCAAAAACTTACTTCGCGCCGTCTTAGCGCCTCTGCCTCTTCTCGAGCTTTGCGTTCTGCTTCTTCAGCTCTTCTGCGCAAAACCTCAGCTCGTTCAGCCTCCACCCGTCGTTCGACTTCAGCATTGAACTGCACTCTACGTAGCACAAGCAACTTTGCTAACTCGGAGTCTAAGTACCGCTCTAGGCGTCGAGCAACCTCTTCTTCAAGAAGTTTGGATTCTGCCCACCGTTGACGCCTATTAGAAAATACGAATTTAAACCAAGATCACCATGTGCATCCGAAAATGATAAAAAGACTTAACATGATGATGGAAGTGACTTAACCAACGAAATATAATAACTTAGGTTTGAGTGTGACATAATCCACACCCTCCAGGTTAAAGTCGGAAAAGTTTATGGTGTATATAGCATAGACAGTAGGAAAAGGCACCCGGTTGTGCTTCACACAAGTAGAAAACCCCATTGAATGTCGGTCAATACACCCTTTAATCGACAGGAGAAAATAGGCAAAGACTCGTATACTGCGATGCAAAACCTACTTGTACTGCATAGGATAATCATACTAACTAACTTCGAGCTGAAACACATAACTCCTTAAATGACCTGATCTGGAAAAGAAAATGCCAAGATCAGTGAGTAACATTCAGCACTATGTAGACTTCAGAATTGTGTAGAAACAATGTCTAAGTGGGTGATGAAAACTATTCAAACCTCAAGCGTGGGCAATTCCATGGGCTTGGCAATAAACTGCACTTATTATGCCAGTATAGATCTAACGGGTCCATACCCCAAGGCTCAATACTCTGTGATAAAATAAAGAATAGCAACCTCAAGCCAGTCACCTGTCAAACGTCCCCGGAAAATCAACCTCTATCAAGAAGTTTATACCGATTACATTAGGAAAGGTTCCAAAGGCAACTCATATGCATTCATAGGTGTTAAATGCAAAAAGAACTAATTATTTACAAAAAATAGCTTTCACGGATATGTTTCACAAAACTTCCCAGTTTTCGATAGGCATATCGATGCCAAGTTTAACCAGTTGCGTTACGTGCGGTCATCGAAGTGATCTGTTTATTTGCCGAATTCTGTCCTAAGCATGGATCCAAATACCTTTAATGGAATCCATACGCATCCCAGCAACTGACTATACGAATTCTAAATAGTGGTTATAGGATTATTAGTAATCCAAAGAAGAGAACTGAGTATGTGAACGCCATCCATGGTGAACGCCTGATGGTCATAATCGGTTATTCAAGGTAATCTGATCGGTTTCTGGTTTAGGTGGCTATTCTTTATCTTTGCCGTGGACGTTACCAAAGGCTACAATTTATTTACGTTTGTAGCTTTAAAGACTTGATATCACTCTCAGTAATCCTTCACTTACGGCTGTCAAGCAGCGACATGCGAACTCTCATCTAAGATCGAAGACCCAAAGGTATAGTTTAGTGAACTTCTATCCCTACTTAAGAGCTTGTAGTAGCAGAAATAACGGCATTCGTAAATTTGGAGAGAAAACAATGAATAACGACCTTTCGGGTACAAACGTACTTCACATGGATTTTAGCAGGCCTACGTTAACTGACACACTGACCATGAAAATTAAACTAATCCATTTCTCAGATTGGTAAGATACCAAAACACCGTAGAAAACAATGATCCCAATGCCTCAATAAAAGCATCACGAATAACCCTTGAGAATTTCATCAATAATGTAGTGAGGCATATTCACACCGCTGTCGCCTACCTTCATATGCACTATCAGAAGAACTATATTGGAAGAAGGTTCAGGGTGGCCAGACTGAAACATAGTACCATTGTATGAAATTCCTAACAGCTGGTTTTAGCCATATATGGAGGTGTAGATTACCTGGCTGAGGTCTCCGAGACGAGGTTGAGGACTCTTGATGAAATGGCTGAAAATCGGTTACGATGGCACAGATGTTTTCACTCTCTGATATCTTCCAAAGCTTGAATATAGTTAACTTTCATTTCTTGAATTTCCTCCGCTCCTGCACACCGTTGTCTACTTTGATCTTACTTTTCTATCCACCTGTTTTTTGTATACTACTGTAGTGTGGCAACTTGACTGATGCACTTGTATGAGGTTCTAGGTTGATTTCATCTGCTTTACATAATCCCAATGAAAGAGAACACCTAGTGGCTTTTGTGAAGTTAGCAATGAATATACTAACAGTAGAAAATAGTGAGCATATATTATGGGTAATTTGATCTGAAAGAGGAGTGAATTCAGAATATGACTGTATCGATCTCAAGCTTGGCTCCACCCATATTACACAGTTTGTATACGATAACAGTAAGTTAACTGCAACATGAACTGTTAGCTGTGAGGTAAACAAATCACTAGCCGTGGTGTGACTTAGTGCTGCAATTAAAAGATGAACATGAGGTCATCACTAACTTAGGAAAAAGTAAGAAGCTAGAAGTGGCAAAAGATATAGGATAAGAACACTCAGACGCAAAATTTTTTCTACTCTGTTAAAATGAATCACAGAAATACACTATCCCTGCTATTTCTTTTAAAGTACATACTGTAATAACTATGCATCCCAAAGCTTCTGTATAGGAGTCAGATACTAGTGATTTAAGCAGCATGAAAAATATCAACCAAACATCCAGACTTACAGAATCCGATCTTCTTCTGCTCTTTGTTCATCACGCTTTCGGGAATCTTCGCTCCTGCCGTTGCGCTTAGTTTCAATGATCAGAAGGGAACCGGAGAACTGGCCCGACTTGAGGCACTGCTACTATTTCGGTGCCTGAAAAGATTCAATACAAGTACTTGATTTGGGGTTGATGTAAACGTCAAGTTAATAAATCATTCGTACTTATCTACTCATCCTGGGGTTGCACTTCAGCGACTTCTTAAACGAAAGACATGGCTAGCTGTGCATGAAAGGAGTAAATACTTGACAAAACGATTTAACTGTGCAACCCCAACCTTTTTCTAGGACGATCTGTTCGTGATCTAGAGTGCGTAACGGGAGAACCCGATGCGCCCCCACGATCTACCATCGCTAAGACAACGTAGCGTTGCGTCTGAGAGGCGCCATGCATGCGCCATTGTAGGCATACTTAAGAATTTTTTGGACCCGTTATCCATTATGGTCTTCTACAAAGCAAGAAAACACTTACAAACTCCCCAACTTCTGCATCTCCTTGAAAACCACTGGCAAGTAAATCCAACGAATATAACATAAACCCAGTAGGCAAAAGTTTGTTTCAGAAAATTCTGGACGTGGTTAGCATCAGGAACTTCAAAGTTCACACATTAGGAAAACGTGGGTTGTCGCAAATCCACAGGTTATGAGCAAGATACTGACCTCAAACTAATGAAGGGTCATCTAGGTTCTGTAGCGTCATACACTTCTCCAAAATCAATAGCCTAGGGTTTGACCAGATTCAGCACTGGTGCTAACCTTCATAGTTTTATCGGACTCGCTAAGCTGAAGACACACAGCCAAGCGTCTTCGCCATTTGGTACGTTGTCGTGTTACGTTGCACTGCTCGTAATCGACCCTCTGGTCAGTTGGAACGACCTGGTAGATATACTATTCCATCCGACTACGCTGTTATGTTCTCCCTTGGTCTCATATTCGTGGGTATACAGCAAGTGCGAATAATTTATGATTGGCCTCTACGTCGGTCAAGTTCGCACCTGGACAACCCCTAGAGCTCCGTGTATGACATGAGATTCGACTGGCTGTTGACGGAACAGAAGTTATGGCTTAACTGTCTTTCACGTTTGAAATCCGTAAATCACTACTTCTTGTATTTGTTGACCTGCATACAAGTAAGGAAGGGGAAAAGTGGCAGTTAGAATTTTAAAATTCAATTGGTTCTGGGCAGATAACTGCCATAAGTCAAATAAGCATCCAGTTGGCTTGTAAAGGATTCAGAAGAAGTGGCCTGGACCACATTATCATTATCAAGTCCCTTCTCGCCCTTCTATACTCCAGGGGATACAGATCCAGTGCAACCAGTCGTTCTTCATGTGTTTTATATCTATATCCTCGAACAAATTTGGCGGAGCGTCTCTGGATGCGTTCTAAGCTTAGTTGTCCCTCTGCAAAGGAGGAAAGACGATGGTCTTAAACTCGGGGTGGAAACATCTACGATTGAACTGTCCGAAATTTCGTTCAGGGGTTACTAGCGCCATCAAAGTTCATTAGTCTTAAACGCCGAAAATCTACGGGTTGCCAGCTGGTGGCTAATTATCGCCCTGTCAGTCTAACTAACATAATAATTAAGGTTTTAGGAAAAATAATTTCTGATAAGTCACTTAACCATGCTAAATCAACCAATCTTCGGTCTCCACAGCAACACTGTTTTCGTACTGGGCATTCCTATCCAACAAATCCCCTCACCGAGAGAGTAAGTGGTTTGCAGCCTGTTTCTGACGAGATTCAGCATTGATGCTGACCCTTATTGTTTTATAAGACTTATTAAGCTGAAGGCACACGGTCAAGCATCCATGCCTTTTGGTACGTTGTCGTGCCACATTGGTCTGTTCTCACGCTGTCCTCCCACCGATTAGTCGGAATGCATTGGTATTTTAGTATGGTTGTCAAATGTACTATTCCATTTGGCCACTCCATTGTTTTGTTTCCTGGTGGGCACATAAATAGTAGGAATAACTAGTGATTGACCTTCGGGTCTGTCAAGTTCATGTGAGATCCGTTCTTAAGCTGATGAGCTCACGCCATTCCAGTTAAATGACGCAGACACAGTTTCTGCACACCAAAGCTAACTTTCTCGAGCTAGGCATCACAGATCAGCATTCTGTTTCTTGCTGCCACCACCACATGAATTAAACAGACACGTCACAGCACGTATACCGAGGCTTGAAATAAGTGATCCCGATACAATGCTCAAAGTAGCACTTTCGAAGAAAATTAATCTCGCAGATAGTCAGAGCCCGGAAGAGCTGCCAAGGAACATGGAACTTGGGAACAACTCTGCTACTCATGTGGTGCGGCGCAGGTGAGAAGACACTGGATGGTGGATGTTCAATGAGGGTCTCTTCCAGGGATTTTTGTTTTAGAGAACACCACAGCCTGTTCTCTGGCCAGCAATCATCTACGAGCCGGAGCCCTAGGAAACGACACACAACACAACAGCGTGTTTCGTCCTGTCACAGCGTTTCGCGTGCCCGTCCACCAGCTGGGTGTCGCTTGGTAGAAAATTCTCAATTATTGCTTCCATCGCACATATGGCGAAGAAGCCAGAAACTGTTGAAAACCGTTCACTTTTCCCAGAGGCCTCACAAGACCAAGAAACTACCGTGCTGATACACTTTAGCGGCAGCCGTAGTCGGTGGCCGAATCCTTTTGTTGCATGTGAGCGACGTGGGGACAAAAATTCACTACCTGGTAGGCACTGGTACGGAAATAAGCGTTCTTCTCGTAGCCGCAAATGAATTTTATTTCAAACCACCCTTCAGTCTGCTAGAAGCCAGCGGCAAAGCGATCGAAACCTTTGGAGGAGGCGTGCCTACCCCAACCTACGTGTGCATAAACCTACCCACTGAATATTTTTCATGGCTGATGTTTTCATGCTCATAACTGGTATAGGCTTACTGAACCTACTAGTGGGTGCCGATCAAGGACGGCTTCTGGGTAGTAACAAGAAGTCATCTATAGGTGGGACCACCTACGAAGGTCCGAGTTTAGCAACAAGACGAAATCCATAGTCGACCCATCCTATCAGACAGTGTCAGATAAATATCTAGAGTTGACAAAATCGACGCATACTCTATCATATATAACATACACGTAACATCGCCACCATAGGCCTGCCTGTGGGATCCAGAGCACTCGGTCTAGTCTTTGATAATCGCAGGACGAAGTAAACGGTTTGGAATGTCATTACTGTGATTCATTAAGGAGCTCTCGTTCTAATATCACTTTGAGTTTTAGGGGTTCACATATGTGCTTCCTAAGCTAGTGTAATGTCCGTTCGCATAGGTTTAGCTAGAGAGCAGCCGCGAACAATATGCAATAAATACATTCCTATAATCCAGGCTATTACGTTTAAACATTTGAGACATCCTACCGAGTCACCAACGCCAGACTGAAGAGTAAATGTTTCACTGCCATCAATGAAGACCTCCGGATCTTGACACCACACATAAATATGAATGATGGCGTAAATGGTCATTTATGGATTAAAGGAAGAAGAATAGACCTAGAACGGTGGCCTTATGGGAATAAATTCCGTAACACTACAGTCACGTTTATTGCCTACATTCATTAGCAGAGGTATTCCTGGGTGATGTGCAGTCGAACAGTTTATGGCAAGCTTAGACGTAGAGTGCCGAAAGAAGTGTGAGATTGGTCTTCAGTCATCCTGGCTACACCGGATATATTTTTATTATCCTGCGCTTACTTTCACAAATGTAGCTGGTAGTAGGGTCAACTGGAGGATGGGTGAAAACACGCTGAACGCTCACTATCTGGAGCCCCTGGAACACCTCCATGTTGCTAAAAACGAATTTCAGACATAAATAAACAAATTATATGTGTTTCTTCATCAGCTTTTCATCGTTATTCTTGAGCGAAATATACAAGGTGTAACAGTGGAAGTCTTGTCTTCAACTTTTATCTTTCTCCAGGCGATACGCGTAGTGCTATAACACAAACCCTGTCATTTTTGGTCCTTGAGAAGACAATACTTCCGCCCGTTCACCTTGTCAATTTGTGCATACCTATCCTGCTAGGACGTTTCATTTTGTAAACGTTTAGCACTTGGGTACTCTAGAGGCAAAAAAAGTTAGTTAGGGATCGAGACTACCTGCCATAGAGACACGTGTAGTTTACATAGAAATCTACTCATACCCGTAAAAATGGTGTGGCTTTGTGAGTTGAGGAGTGAATATTTTTATTATTATTACCATTCAAGTAATTCACGGACAAGAAGTTTGAATGAGAGTGAATTGATCTGCGGCGTATGGACGTTTATGCGCAGGGGGCCAACAGGTCTTCTGCTTTTGGTCATGACACGGTTAGCATTTTCTAAGGACAGGAAGTTCCCAGTGTGCCCAACATCCAAGTCTCAGACGAAAGCTAGCTCCTGAAGAGTTGAATCTCGGAGGCACAAGTCAAAATCGGGGAGGGAATCTCCGAAAAAACGACTGCACATTTATTGATACTCAGTAGTTGCCACTAACTACCATAGATGCATGATTAATTCAGGTCAACCCATACAAGATGCTTACCATCCCACAAGCCATCATGAGGAAACCTGCAGACGATTTTTCAATCGTCTGTGATGTGGTGGGACCTGTCATGCTCTACGTCTTTACAAGTGTTATAATGGTGCAGAAGGAATGGTAAGAGTGGTTACACAGTACTTTGGACAGCTCTGCTTTTGATAGATTTGTGGAAGAGCAACAGCTGTTGAAATCAATTAATTCGGGCATCGGCGGGTGGTTTGCTTAGGCGATTCAGTGGTTTTCACCCGTTAACGAAACTTTTCTCTCGAGGAGGTAGTTGGCTGGATGCCTGACTACTTAGATATCGTGCTAAATAGTAGTGATAAATGTTTACTGCAGCACAGTCTTTCAGGAACTAACCTCCCCCAGTCGGTTAGCTAACCCTGAAAGCAGGATGGTGCTTGGCGGTAAATGAAGTCTCATTTATCCACAGCGATCCGGAAAACATGCCCGTTGACACGGTGGATGATGAAATTACGACAACACCAACAACAACACCAGCCATCACGCGGCTACTGTTCCTGGGAAAAATTTAATCGCCAATTTCAGAGGGCAACCGTCCCATTAACGTATTACTTATATATAAGTTATTATGTGGAAAATCCTGCTACCCGTATCACAAAGGAGGCGAAGAAGTTCCGACCACAGCAATGTTGTTTCGAGGTTGTAGAAGTATCTTGATACGACTAAGGGCAGTAAATTACGTCCAAAGCGTGGTCCAGTAAACAACGACTGGTGCCGCCTACACTCATGGGCTGAAAGCTTCTGGAGAGGACAAAGCAATGTTGTCGGAGTTGTGTAGGATCGATGGCCCAGCACGTGGTGAGATGGCGATTCACTAATGATGATGATGATGATGA